TATAACCTTGATTTGGATATTCACGATCAACTATTGCACCTTTTGTATCATTCCATATCCAAATACAAACTGTACAATCACGTGAACCAGTTGCAAGAAAACAATTTCCAGCAATAGTTACTTCTGAACGACATACACATGTAACAATATCAAAATGACCATAGAGTACTTGTGTAATTTTAGCTATATCAGTATTTTGTACACGAAAACTTTTATCCCAATAACCAGTTGATATTATATAACGATTATCAGCAGTAACAACAAAACTTTGATGTCGTTGTTGAATACGTTCATCAAAATTATCATCCAAATGACGACGATTTAAATTTATATTTGATACTAAAAAAAAGATATTCTTATTGTTATTTTATTTTTGAATATTGAATAATTATTATTCAAATTAATATTTATAAAAAGTTTAACTATAGAATTAATCTACCTAATATTGAATCCATGCTTAATGGTAATTGTCTTTGTTGGTGTATTGATGTTTGTGATGATTCAGAATAAGTTTGTGTTGGTGTACTAGCATTTGGATGATATTTATTTATAGAAAAATCATGTTTATTACTAATTGTAATAATAGCTTATATAGAAAGTATTGGATTTGTATTAGCAGAAACATGTTTAATAAGTGCATTTGATGAAAATTTCATTATCATTGATACATCTTCTGGTGTACTAAAATATTTAAATTATTTTTTCTTTCATTGAGAAAAAAAAAACTACTTACACATTATACATCATTGGAGTCTAAAATAGACAAAAAAAGAATTATTAAAAAAAATAAAGTGTTTGTTTCGTCTTACTAAATTCATTGCTGAATTTCTTGGTGGATGTGGTTCAGTTAAAAGTTGTGCTGGTGCTTGACCAAAATTTCTTATTTGTGTTTCAATAGCAGCACGATCTATTGGATTTGTTATTGAATCAAGATTAACAGCACGAACAGCTTCAGATCCTAAAAAAAACACAAGAAACATCAAATATTTAAATAAGATAAAAATTGTTATTAATCTTCTATAAATCAACCTCTTTATTTATAACCAAAAATTAAATCAATCCAATAATGTAAATGCCATGAAACAAATTCAGATTCTAATGCCTAATGATTACAATTTGTTAACATTTCATGTAGAGAAAAAAATTCAGAAATTAATTCTTTAACATCAGATGAATCACGTTGACAATTTTGCCATGATAATGGTATTGAATGAAATAATCGACTAGCATGAACAAATTTTCCTTCTTGTAAACTTAAATAAAATGTTGTGAATGGTTTCTTAAAAAAGAATGAAGTAATATTATTGAATTTATTAAATAGAATTATATTCGAACTAACAAGTCGAATAAGCCAACCAAGTGTAAATGCATCTGTTGAATAATGTGTACCATAATGAAATGGTGACATTATATCCGATTCCCAATTATTATAACGTTCAATAAAAAAATGATTTTCTTATAGGATTTAATGTACCAACAGGCTAAAAACAAGAAAAAATTAAGAATAAATGAAAAACAAAATAATCGAAATTATACTTTTGATAAATCTCGATAAGTTGATAGAGAATTTAAAACAAGTTTTTCACTTTCATAATCAGCTATAACCCATGGAACTATTGGATATTGATTTAAATCTTGATATGTTCGACCTAAATAAAAAAAAATTGTTTTTGTTTTTTAATAAATTTATATACAATCTTTGTTTGTTCAATTATACCTGTAATCGTATTATAAAATACATAAGATATTCAAAATTTGAAATTTCTCGTCTTTGCCATCGTTGTGTCATATTTGCTGAACGAAATAATTGTTTTGGTGATGCTAATGATGTTCGCCTAAATACAATTCAAAATAACATGAATAAGATAATTTACTAACCGTTATTGTGGTAAACCATAACGACCACCAACACCAACTTGAGGTAAAAAGCTTACAACTTTTTTCACAATTGAACGATCATTAAATGCAAACATAACACTTGCTAAAATACA